ATATATATATATATATATATATATATATATATATATATATATATATATATATATATACATATACATATATTCATAGGTATGTGGAGTGAGGGATTTTCTTTTTTCTCTATTACTTTTATGAATTGATTTTTTTGGGAGGAGAGAAGAGGGAAATGTGGTTTTGTTTGTATGATTATTTCAGCTTATTGTTGTGAGGTGAACCGTCATGGTGGCACTGTAAGCAAACCCATATTTTATGATGCAAATATGTATATAAAACTGTTTACAAAAGCAATATTAATATATATTTTTTATTTGTCACGTTATTGATTTTTTTTCGTTTCATATCTGTTTATTTACTTATTCTATTTTCTATCTTTAAGACACTTTATTGTTTATCTATTTGATTTTTCATTTATCTATTCGTTTATTTATCTACTTACTAATGTAACGTTCCTACACTCTACCTGTCTCCCCTCCACCTCCTCCTCTCCTCCCCTTCCCTTCTCCTCTTCCCTTTTTCCTTCCCCTTTTCCCATCTATTTTCCCTTCTCCTCTCCCTTCTCCTTTCCCTCTTTTCCCACTTTCCTATTCCCCTTCCCCCTCTTCTTCCCTTCCTTCCCCTTCTCCTCCCCCTCCCCTCCCTTTCCCCCTCTTCTTCCCCTTCCGCCTCTCCCTCCCCCTCACCTTTCCCCTTTCCCTCCCTTTCCCTTTTATCCCCTCTCCTTCCCCCTCCCTTCCCCATCCCCATCCACCCACCCTACCAGGTAGACCTCAGCCTCAGCGCCCCCAGCCTCGCCACCTACAACGCCAGCACGCCCCCGAAGGCCCACCCCTGCGCGGGCGGCGGCTGCGTGGGCGTGTCCCGTCGCGTGGGCGTCTGCAGCAACAACTTCACGATGGTGGACAATTCGCCCCTCGCCACCCTGGGGGGGTATTTGGCCGTGCGTCTGCTCAACGTCTTCACCCTGGGTAGGTCGGGGTCCCTGTGGCGTGACCTTTGACCCCGTGGGCGTATTCACACACACACGTATATAGATTGATTGATTGATTGATAGATAGATAGAGAGAATGACTGATTGGTTGACTGAACGGTAGATTGATAGGTAGGTAGATAGATAGATAAATAGATAGAACGTCTTCACCCTGGGTAGGTCGGGGTTCCTCTGGCGTGACCTTTGACCCCGTGGGCGTATTACACACACCACGTATATAGATTGATTGATAGATAGATAGAATGGTGATTGATTGACTGAATGGTAGATTGATAGGTAGGTAGATAGATAGATGCATAGATAAAATGTCCTTCACCCTGGGTAGGTCGGGGTCCCTGTGGCGTGACCTTTGACCCCGTGGGCGTATTCACACACACACGTATATAGATTGATTGATAGATAGATAGAATGATTGATTGGTTGACTGAATGGTAGATTGATAGGTAGGTAGATAGATAGATAAATAGATAGATAGAACGTCTTCACCCTGGGTAGGTCGGGGTCCCTGTGGCGTGACCTTTAACCCCGTGGGCGTATCACACACACACACGTGTATAGATTGATTGATAGATAGATAGATAGAATGGTTGATTGGTTGACTGAATGGTAGATTCATAGGTAGGTAGATAGATAGATAAATAGATAGAACGTCTTCACCCTGGGTAGGTCGGGGTTCCTCTGGCGTGACCTTTGACCCTGTGGGCGAAGTCACACACACACACCTATATAAACATAGGTATATTGACTGATTGATAGATAGATAAATAGATAAATAGATAGATAGATAAATAAATAAATAGATTGATTGAGTGGTTGACTGACAGATAAATAGATAGATAGATAGAATGACAGATTGATAGACTGACAGATGGGTAGATAGATAGAGAGATAGACAGATAGACAGTAAATAGATTGAAATGATAGTTTAATAAAGATAGAAAGATAAATATAGACATAAATATAGATATACATACACAACAAGGCAATGAAAACAAAACAAACATGAAAACAAATTAATTTATCAAAAAAACAAAAACAGAAAAAGACCGAAAAGAGCTTACAGTCTTTGAAGGAGAATGACTTGCTCCGTCCAGCAGGAGGCTCGAAGGCTGAGCAGGTGAGGAGGCTCTGCTGTCGGGACCTTGGCTCGCATGTTTCGTAAAGAGTAAAATGTTAAATGTCTTTTGAAGTTGATTCCGGGGTTTTATACATGCATATATACACACGCATGCACGAGCGGACACCACGCATGTACACAGACACACACACATACACACACCACACACACACATATATATGTGTGTTTGTGTTGTGTGGTGTGTGTGTGTGTGTGTGTGTGTGTGTGTTGTGTGTGTGTGTGTGTGTGTGTGTGTGTGTGTGTGTGTGTGTTGTGTGTGTGTGTGTGTGTGTGCTGTGTGTGTGTGTGTGTGTGTGTGTGTGTGTGTGTGTGTGTGTGTGTGTACATACTGTGTACATATACAGTGTACTCTGCACTTCTCTTCGTGCCTTTATTTCATCATAAAAAGCCAAATTCACTTCGCTGCCAAAATCTAGCAGGTGGAAAGGAATTAACCTACGAGAGAGGAGAGAGAAGAGAGAGAGGAGAGAGAGAGAGAGAGAGAGAGAGAGAGAGAGAGAGAGAGAGAGAGAGAGAGGAGAGGAGGAGAGAGAGAGAGAGAGAGAGAGAGAGAGACAGAGAGACAGAGAGAGAGAGAGAGGAGAGAGAGAGAGAGAGAGAGAGAGGACATAGAGGGACATAGAGTTTTTCCCTCTATGTCCCTCTATCTCTCTCTGAGATAGAGAGAGATAGAGAGAGAGAGAAGGACAGTGCATACCCTAAGTGCTTTCCATCACGAAAGTTTCTGTTGTCGGTTGCTAAAAAAACACAATAAATCGCTTTACAAAAAATAACTGAGGATACTGAGGTTGCTGAGGATACTGAGGATATCTTCCATTACTCTGCCCAATGATCCTTAAAAAAATCCAATACTGAGGATACTGAGGATACTGATAGATACAAAGGATACCTTCCATGACCCTGCCCTTTCCCTCCCATGACCCTGCTCTTTCCCTCCCATGACCCTGCTCTTTCCCTCCCATGACCCTGCTCTTCTCCCATGACCCTGCTCTTTCCCTCCCATGACCCTGCTCTTTCCCTCCATGACCCTGCTCTTTCCCTCCCATGACCCTGCTCTTTCCCTCCCATGACCCTGCTCTTTCCCTCCCATGACCCTGCTCTTCCCTCCATGACCCTCTTTCCCTCCCATGACCCTGCTCTTTCCCTCCCATGACCCTGCTCTTTCCCTCCCATGACCCTGCTCTTTCCCTCCCATGACCCTGCTCTTTCCCTCCCATGACCCTGCTCTTTCCCTCCATGACCCTGCTCTTTCCCTCCCATGACCCTGCTCTTTCCCTCCCATGACCCTGCTCTTTCCCTCCCTGACCCTGCTCTTTCCTCCCATGACCCTGCTCTTTCCCTCCCATGACCCTGCTCTTTCCTCCCATGACCCTGCTCTTTCCCTCCATGACCCTGCTCTTTCCCTCCCATGACCCTGCTCTTTCCCTCCCATGACCCTGCTCTTCCCTCCCATGACCCTGCTCTTTCCCTCCCATGACCCTGCTCTTCCCCTCCCATGACCCTGCTCTTTCCATCCCATGACCCTGCTCTTTCCCTCCCATGACCCTGCTCTTTCCCTCCATGACCCTGCTCTTTCCCTCCCATGACCCTGCTCTTTCCCTCCCATGACCCTGCTCTTTCCCTCCCATGACCCTGCCTTTCCCTCCATGACCCTGCTCTTCCTCCCATGACCCTGCCCTTTCCCTCCATGACCCTGCCCTTTCCCTCCCATGACCCTGCTCTTTCCCTCCCATGACCCTGCCCTTTCCCTCCATGACCCTGCTCTTTCCCTCCATGACCCTGCTCTTTCCATCCCATGACCCTGCTCTTTCCCTCCCATGACCCTGCTCTTTCCCTCCCATGACCCTGCTCTTTCCCTCCCATGACCCTGCTCTTTCCCTCCCATGACCCTGCCCTTTCCCTCCCATGACCCTGCCCTTTCCCTCCATGACCCTGCTCTTTCCCTCCCATGACCCTGCCCTTTCCCTCCCATGACCCTGCTCTTTCCCTCCCATGACCCTGCCCTTTCCCTCCCATGACCCTGCTCTTTCCCTCCCATGACCCTGCTCTTTCCCTCCCATGACCCTGCTCTTTCCCTCCCATGACCCTGCTCTTTCCCTCCCATGACCCTGCTCTTTCCCTCCCATGACCCTGCTCTTTCCCTCCCATGACCCTGCTCTTTCCCTTCCCGCAGCCACGACGGGCACGCTCTTCAACGGCGCCGCGGTGGCCATTCTGAAGCAGCACGACGGGGACTATGGCCTGCAGAAGGTCTACGGGAGTCTCGGGTCCATCGTTCTCACGCCCATCTCGGGTCTGCTCATCGACGTGTTCTCCGACGCCTCCGGGAGACAGGACTTCAGGTGGGTTCGGGGGGGGGGGGGGTTGTCTGTGTGTGTGTTTGTCTGTGTGTGGGGAGGTTTGGGGGTTTGGGGGGTTCGGGGGAGGTAGGGGGGTGTTGGTGTGTGGGGGGTCGGGGTTGAGGGGAGGTAGGGGGTGGGGTGTTGTGTGTGTGTGTGTGTGGAGGTTTGGGGGGGGGGAGGTAGGGGTGGGTGTGTTGTGTGTGTTGTGGGGGGGTTCGGGGGGGGGGGGGTTGTGTGGTGTGGGTGGGTTTAGGGGTGGGGGTTGTGTGTGTGTGTCTGTGTGTGTGTGTGTGTGTGTGTTTAGGGGTGGGGATAGTGGTTGTGTGTGTGCGTGTGTGTGTGTGTGTGTTTATGTGTGTCTGTATATATGTGTGTGTGTGGTTCTGTATGTTTATCTGTGTATATGTGTGTGTGCGGTTATATATATTTATCTATGTATGCGTGACGGTGATTATATATGTTTATCTGTATATGTGTATGTACATATATGTATATGTATATATGTACGTGTGTGGAATGTCTATTTATATTTGCACATTTCTAAGTAAATAAACAAATATACTAACAGAAAAAATAACTTTCTCTCACCCAAATAAATTCAATAAACCATTGTATTTGCACATTTCTAAGTAAATAAACAAATAAACTAACAGAAAAAAAAACTTGCTCTCATCCAAATAAATTCAATAAACCATTGTATTTGCACATTTCTAAGTAAATAAACAAATAAACTTATAGAAAAAAAACACCCTTTCTCTCACCCAAATAAATTCAATAAACCATTGTATTTGCACATTTCTAAGTAAATAAACAAATAAACTAAAAAAAAACATCCCCTCTCTCACCCAAATAAATTCAATAAACCATCTCTCTCTCCCGCACCCGCACAGACCCGCCTTCTTCCTCTACTTCGCCCTCAAGCTGGCAGGATCCATCTGCATCCTCTTCCTCAAGCTGGACTTCAAGATGCCCTCCAACCGGGTCATGAAGGATTTCCGGTCCATCGTCAAGAAACCGGAAATTATTACGTTCCTGATGGTCATGCTCATATCAGGTGAGGGAAGGACGGGGATGGAAGGAGGAGAGAGAGAGAGAGGGAGGGGGAGGGAGGAGGGAGGGGAGTGGAGGAAGAGGGAGAGGGAGGAAAGAGAATGAAACAGAGAAAGAGAGAAAAAGAAAAAGCGAGGGAGGAAGGAGAGCGAGAGCGAGAGCGAGAGAGAGAGAGAGAGGAATGAAGGAAACCCCACACACATAAACCTCAAACCTCTTTCTCGCCCTCCCCCACCACCAGGAGCATGTTTCGGAGTCCTGGACACCTTCCTGTTCTGGCTCCTGCAGGACATGGGTGCCAAGAAGTCCCTCATGGGCATCACGGTCTCAGTGGGCACGGCAGCGGGCATCCCCATCTTGCTAGTGTCTGGACAAATGATCCAGAAGTTGGGACACGTCAACACTATCATCCTTGGCTTCGCTTTTTACGTTATCAGGATGTTGGGTGAGTGTTTTATTTCTTTATCTCTTACCGTATCGTTATTATCATTTATTTTAGTTCAGCTGCAGAAACCCGGAATATCTTATTGCGTTCAACATACCTTACAGAAAGTTTTGACTAGGTAGAGTGGTGGGATAGACCTGGATCAATCCGAGGTAGGATATGGTCCCAAATTGTGGTATCATTTATTTCGTGCAACATACCTTACAGAAATGGTTTGATTAGATCGAGTAAACCCTAGTAGTAATACGTCCCAAATTATGGTATCATTTTCGAAATATAGACTATTTTCTCTCCAAAATAGAGAAAAAAATAATTGTCGCATAGTCACTTCACTTTCTTTGCAAGTGCATAAGTTACTTTGAGCAAACAAATATAAGTTTTATTTATCAGAATGTTCGAAATTAAATTCTTTGCCATCCTACATCCAGAAACATTGCTATGCCAAGCTTGTGTATTAGTAACATTAGCTTATTTTCCCTCGTTCATAGGATGAGTTAACAATTTCTCATTCAGGTCATATGAAACCCAAGATGTTTCTTATTACACAAAAAAACTGCCACTACTACCCTATCACTAATTATAAAAAAATTGAACTTGATACATACTTAATAATTCCTGCAAGAGGCAAATTAGCAAAAAGTTACCATGATGGGCCACCCCCTACGAAGTCAGAAGTAATTGTTGAACTATATCAATACTCACTGAACATTGATACAAACATGAATTTAGGCATGAATTGATAATAATGATGATGATGATAATGATAATAAAAGATAATAGTGTTAATAATAAAAATGATGATCATAATAATGATGATAATAAAAGTAATGATAATCATAAAATTATATCAGTTTCATTGTTCCCACTAATAATGATCATAACAAAAAATTGATAGTAGTAATAGTAATGATATCAATAACAAAAGCACTGATAATGATACCAATAATGATAATGATGAAGAATGATAACAATAATGATAAAAATAATATCAACAATAGCAATCATGATGGTAACAATAACAACAACAATGATAATCACAATGCTAATAATGCTAATAATGATGATGATGATGATGATGATGATGATGATAATGATGATGATAATGATAATGATAATGATAATGATAGTAATCATGATAATTATAGTGATGATCATGATAATTATAACAACAACATTAAAGCACTGATGATAATGTTAATGATAGTAATGATATTTAATCGTGATGCTAATAATGATGTTCATAATGACAAAAATGATGATGATTATCATCATAACAATAATGATAACAATAATAATGATGATAATAATAACAATTATCATTATTGTTATTATTATCATTATTATCATTATTATCATTATTATTATTATTATAGTTGTTGTTATTGTTATTGTAATGCTAATGAATAAAGATAATAATATTAATAATCATGATAATGAAAATGATCATGATTATAATAATGATGATGATAATAATAATGATAATAATAGTAATAATGATAATTTTAGTATTAATAACAATAATAATGATAATAGCAATGGCAATGATGATAATAATGACATTAATAAAAGTAATAATAACGATAATAACAGTGATAACAATATAGTAATAATAATAAAAGCAATAGTGATAATGATGATAATAATGATAACAGTAATCCTAATCATAAAGATAATGATGAAAATTATCATAACAGTTATAATAATAACATATAACAATAATAATAGAATGATAAAAATAACCATAATGAAAATAACAATAACGATGAAAATAATAGTAATGGTAATAATAGCAACAACAACAATAATAATAATAATAATGATAATAATTATAATCATAATAATGATATCTATAATGATAATGACGATAGTCATGATAATTAAAATATCAATGATAATAAAGATGATCCCAATAATAACAACAAAAACAACAGCAACTTAATAGACACATTACATGGACATGCACATACCCAGAAATGTATACATATCTATCAGTCTAGACATGCATATCTACCGTACAGAAAAATAAAAGTATATTTATTTGATAGATCGAGAGACACGCATCTATTTCTGTGTATATGTATGGATATCCGTTTATACGAATAAATCGTTGGGTCGGGCTTGGCACAATTTTAACAAACCGGGCGAATGACACAACTGATAATGATGATTGAGATATTAACAATGATAATAACAATGATGTTGATAATGATCTTTGGAAGTAAGTGCGGTGGGGTTAAAAAAAACAAAAAAACTCAGAGAAATAAAACTGACTCTGCCTGTCGTGACATTACTGGTGTAGGGACAGGCGGCGGAAAGCAACAGGGCGGCATAAGCAGGGTGAAGCCTCCCATCGAAAATCTGCGTAAGGCGTCACAAATAACCTTGCTGATGCATTACAAAATCACCTGAAATTTTTATTGAGTAATATTCTTATGCACAGGAGAAAGGCACATTCATCTGCGCATAAATAACGTTGACGATTCTTAAAAGATAATAATAATAATAATCGCCCATTGGCACTTCCTGCAAATAAGATGTCTCGAATCCTTGTAGCGTTCGAATCCCAGGTTACCGAAACTTGGCTCGCCTCTTCAATGTTTTTACTCCATAAATCGAAGGCTGACTCACTTTTCTATTATCGGTCTATTGCATTTTACCAAAGTTGGTTCGGATTTCTTTTTTTTTCTCTCTCTCTTGTTTTGTTGAATTGCGAAAATAGGAAAGATTTACTGGCATAGAAAAGTATCCCCTAAATTTATACATTTTCTGTTTTAACCTCAATCTAAAGAAAATGGGGGAAAATGCCGTAACAGAAAGTAGGCCGGGACTCACCAAGGTAATACACTATCGCCTTTTATATATATAATCATAGAGTGAATCATTCTTTTATACTATTTACAAGGGCTACCGTACGATCCTATATGGCATAGCAACGTTGAATCACGCTGCCACTCTAAGCAAAACGTCATCGCATTGACTTCTTATATAGTATCTATTTCCATTTAATACAATATTAAATTAAGAAGAATATGGACCAAATATAATGTCCTAAAGGAGCTGCAAAACTATTAAGACTTCTGAAAGGTATTTCAAATATCTGGCTGATATCGACATAATTTTCTAAATGCCCTTATGTACGTATATAACTGCATTAGCTTACGCTCACACATTCCTATAAACGTTCGCATATACAGTCGTACACAGACATACACATATATGTGTGAGACTGTGTGTATGTATGTATGTCTACGCGCTTGCGCACACACATAGAAATATATATATGCATACATACACGCACACACACACACACACACACACACATATATATATATATATATATATAATATATATATATAATATATTATAATATATATATATATATATATATATAACACACACACACACACACACACACCACACACCACACACACACACACACACACAACACACATATATATATATATATATATATATATATATATATATATATATATATATATAATATATATATATATATATATATATATATATATTAAATATATATGTTTTGTTGGGCTATTCTAATGTTTCATAAAATTTCATTATCAAATGTAGCCTAAAAATTGTGTGGGTTATTTTTTTTTTTTTTTTTTTACTAGAAAAATGGGATCTCGCGGCCCACAGCAGTTTCTGGAATAGGACACGCGGAAACCAACAGGGCGGCATAAGCAAGATGAACCCTCCCTTCGAAAAGCTGCGCAAAACGTCACAAAGAACCTAGCTTTCTTTTTACAAAATCACCTGAAAATTTTATAGCGTAATATGTTTGTGCACAGAAGGAAGGCACACACATCTGCGCATAAATAAGTTTGACGATTCTTAAAAGAAAAAAAATCATCCATCGGCATCTGCGAATAAGATGTCTCGAATCCTCTGCGCGAGTAGAGTTCGAATCCTGTGGCAGAAACTTGACTCGCCTATTCAATGTTTTACTTCATAATTTGAATTCAAAAGTTGGTTCGTCTTTTTTTTATCTTTCAAATATCTTTGTATTTTGCTTTTACAAAAGTAGGTTTGGATTTCATATTCATTTAATATTTATATTTATTATACAAAATGAAAAGATTTATTAGCCTAGAAATGTTTCCCCTAAATATGCACATTTTCTATTTTACTCTTGCTGTACAGAAAATGGGAAAAATTAAGGCCTAACAGAGAAAAGATAGGCCGTGGTTCACCATGGCAGTACGCTGTCACCTTTTATACTTATTATTATCATCGTCGACATTATCATTATCGTCATAAGAGTTGCTGTTATTATCATTATTGCTATTATCATTGTTATTATTGTTATTAATATTCCCATTATTATTGTTATTATCATTAATAGTTATTACTATTTTTATGATCATTCTTATCATTTTAGCATCATCATGATCGTTTTCATTATTTTATATTATTGTTATTGTTATTCATATCCTCATTATTACGATCATTATTATTATTACTATTATTACTATTTTTATTATTACTATTATTGCTATCATTATCGTTATTATTTTCATTATCATTAATAATTGTTATTTTTATCATCATTAATGTTATTATTATCATTATCATTAATAATATAATCATTATGATTATCATTATCATTAATAATATAATCGTTATTATTATCATTATCATTAATAATATAATCATTATGATTATCATTAATGTTCTCATTATCATTATCATCCTCATTATGATCTTTTTTTAACTCTTATCATTATTATTATTATTATCATTAACATTATTGACATTTTTATATCTCATTATTATCATCATTATCATTAATATTACTATTATCCTTATTATTATCCTTATTATTATTGTTGTTGTTATTATTATTGAAATTATTATTGTCATTGTTATAAGCATTATCATTATTATAATTACTACTATCATAATTATCATCATTATTATAAGCATCTTTTACCATTTGGTTGTTGCAACTGTTGTTTTTGCAGATTTGGAGAAATTGTTTGCTCTTGATACCTTGGTGATACGTTGCTTTAATTGTGATGGGAAATGCGAGCGTGATTTATCCAAGTATATCAAGCAAACGATTATTTACGTAGAAATGAGGTTTATGAACTGAATGTTTCCGTTTTCTGTTTTATCATTCTTTACTTTTTAAGTAGCTGGAAAGGTTGTTTTGTTTTTCTTTTCTTTTTTCTTCTCCTTTACCTTCTCCTTTACCTTCTTCTTCTTCATCTCTTCTCCTCATCTTCTTTTTAACAAAAGCCCTAATAAATAAGTATTTATGTCCAAATTAAATTATATTGCTTTATAGATTATTTCATTTTATTTTCTTTCGGTCCTATTTCGCTATATTTTTCTCGAGAGTTCCTTCATCACATTTCCATAATCTTTCCCCTGCCTCCATGTTCGACCCGAAACTGCAATAACAGTTAAAAAAAACTCCCTTTCCCCTGTGCTTTCAGGTTATTCCCTCATCACAAACCCGTGGTGGAGTCTTCCCTTCGAAATGCTGGAGTGTTTCACCGTGTCCCTCATGAGCACGGCCGCTGTCACCTACACCGCCGACCTGTCCACGCCCGCCACCATCGCTAGTCTGCAGGGGATGTATGGCGGAATCCATTATGGCGTCGGTGAGTTGTCCTTTGTCGAGGGGTGGTTTGTTTGGGGGTTGGTGGGGGTTAGGGGTTGGTGGGGTTGACGGGGGTTGGGAGGGTTGATGGGAGGTCCTCGTGTGACTGATAGGTGCTGGCATTTAGGTGAGTTTGTGTTTGTGGTTTATAACGGTGGTTGCTTTTAGCTATGCTACTCCCACATCTCCCAGATCCGCAGTGTGTGTGTGCGCGCGCCGCGCGCGCGCGCAGGCAGCAGCACGCACGACGCACGCACGCACGACACACACACACACACACACACACACACACACACACAACACACACCACACACACACACACACACACACACACACACACACACACACACACACTCACTCACTCACTCAAACGCTCACTCAGACTCACACACCTATCTATATGTATGCGGCCGCACATATAGATAGACAGATAGAACATGGATAAGTATATAGATAGGCCTAGATGTAAGTATAGATATTGATATGATTTTATAAGTAGATATAGATAGGTAAGTACAAAGATAGATAAATAAATAGAGAGGGTCAAATATATATATATATATATATATATATATATATATATATATATTATATATATATATATATACACATATATACATATATATACATATATATACATATATATATACATATATACATATATATATACATACATACATATATACATAATACATATATACATACATATATACATATATACATATATACATATATATATATATATATACATATATACATATATACATATATACATATATACATATATACATATATACATATATACATATACATATATACATATATATCATATATACATATATACATATATACATATATACATTATACATATATACATATATACATATATACATATATACATATATAATATATACATATATACATATATACATATATATATATATATATATATATATATATATAATATATATATAGATGCACAGAATTCATCAAAATACCAATTGCAGGACGCGGCTTGGGTAGTCTGCTGGGCGGGTTCCTGATCGGCCCGCTTGGTATCCGCACCACCTTCAGACTCATGGCCATCGTGTGTCTCGTCACCTGCATAGCGTATTTCGTGATCAATCGGTCATTCTTCCGAAAGCACCAGTTGGAGAGGAAGAAGCAGCGGGCCGAGGAGAAGCAAGAGGAAAAGAAAGAGGAAGAAGCACAGAAAAACGCGGTAAATATGACCGAGAATGATCCAGAGGTCGCCATAAAGAGTATTTCCACAGAAAACGGTGTGACGGATGGGAAGACCAAAGAAAATGGTGTAACGGATGGGAAACCCAAAGAAAACGGGGATAAAAGCCTGAGAGAAGAGTCAAATCCTGCTTTTGAGAATGACGAAGAAAAATAAAATAAACTAAAATTGAGATAGATATATTGTTTGTACATATATATGTATATAATAGATACTTATAGATCAATATGTAGATAGTTACATAGATTAACTGATAGACTGATAGACTGATAGACAGAGGTAGACATTTTATATGGTAGATTTGTAGAAATAACTTAGTAGCCTGGCTTTAATGGAACTGATTTTTAGTGTTTTTTATCTCTCCCATTTCTTCACTCTCTCCCTCCTTTCATGTTTTATACATGTACAGAATCTTTATTTATTACTTTCATATAGAACCAGCATTATGGATAATGTTTTCTCATAGCATTTAAAATACTCTACCTTTACTTTCACTTTGTCTTTTTCCTTTAAATAAAAGTTTATAAACTTATTGTTTGATATAAAAGTTATTGTCCTTAACATACAATTTTTGTTTGAAAGGATTCTACTCTAAAGAAACCCCTTTTTCAACATGTTCATCGTTCCACCAATTCCACAGTATGGGCCCTAACAGTTTGGTAATTGAAGAAATCCTCTTGAGAACTACAGTATCTTGGTCTACATAGAAGAAAGTGGAAGAATATTTTAGCAACTGGATTTATGGTTCCAGTACATATACTTTACCCTACATCCTTCCATGAATATATGGTCAGAGTTTTACAATGAGATTCAGCAGCCACATACCTACTTTTTAAGGATGGGGCAGTTGCGGAATAAGTTATACCATAGGCATCACTCAGTAGCTTTGTTTCAAGGACCGAACTGCTCATCACGAGTAGACAAGATAAATACTGCCTTAAAGTAAGTCACGTCTATACTCATTACAGTGTACCTTTATTCTCAAATATTTCAAACTGTAGGATTAAAAACCTGAGATTTAAAAGTTTTCAATTGTTTAATAGTTTTGCTATGTAGATTTATATATACACAAAATACAAATGAAACAAGTATAATTGGTCAATGACACTTTAATTACCAGACATAGTAATATTAATGCCTCAAAGCTGTTCCTGTATTGATTGTCTTAGCCTTGGTTCTTTTATCAGTGAATATTTTCTTTTTCATAATTTGGAATATAATGCAGTCATCACAATAAATGTTTCCAAAGAACAAGATTTATATCTTAAGATTTTGGACTGAGCTTAATGAACTATTGTTAAGAAAAGTATGAATGAAATTGAACAACTGCACAAGGTAAGATTAATTTTACAATCTTCACCTAAAATGTTCATATTTTTTCGGAAGATTGTAAAGTTGACGTTTCTGTAACTCAAGTCACTTTGTGAAATTGTACACTCATTCATACTTTCATAATTCTGTGGAAACACTGACTCATTTCATTGTTGAATTCAGCATCTAATTTTGACTTTGCAACCTCAAAATATACCTTTCTTTAAGAGGCTGGATCCTGAAACAATAGTACTTAATTTTCTGAAAAACTTAACTCCTTTGTATGGCACTTCATTCCCTTTGCATTATGCCAATATAAAGTTGTTTTACCTTACATTCACCGACATTCCAGAGTACAGACACTTTTTCTTCTAAGGACAGTAATACTTCTGTCAGTTATCACTGTCTCCATCATAAATATCTTTTTAGCTGAAACTTAGAACTAAAATATAGAATAAAAATAAAAAATCTTGAATTTAAAAGTATTAAACTTTATTGAGCACAGATGCACATACATATCTCTGGATAAATAATTAAAATTTGTAAACAATTTTGTGTTTAGGAAAAATCCGCATAGAAACTGTGAACTTCCTACAACGGATAAGACTAGATGGTGATGTTAGGACAGTAATATTGGATCTCTCAAGAAATAATCGGATTTATCCCATTTCAAGCATTTTCTAGTTTTTTTTTTTTTTTTTTTTGTCTTTTCCTTGGAACTTGAATCTGTGAGCCTTATCTTCTCCATGAAAATTCGTTGGTCAAATTTGTGTGTGATTCCTGAACAAAATCTCGACATGGATATTTCAAGACATTTTTGTATTTTCTCTTTCATCTTTCCCAAAATTCTGAAAGCACCAATCAACTCCTTAAACAAATGATAGCAAAATATGATCCAGCTCTGACACATTGAGGACCAAAAGCACCACTATATATATATGAGGATTATATACATATATATATGTTATGTATATATGGAGCATGAATTTCATAAAATAACACAGAGCATGGAGGCTTTATGAAAAATGCTGATAGTCCTAAATGCCAAAATTTACTTTCAAAGTCATTTGCTCAATGGAGACTGTAGCTGGCTAATACCGCGCAGTTACTTACGGTACCAAACCTTCAACTTGGCTTGATACTATCCATCATCTGGGTCTTACTGTAAGCTTCCATCAAGATTTTCTAGACATATAATCTCAATTATTGGATTCACATGTAAACCATGTTCCTGTCCAAAACAATGTTGAACTTATTAAGATTCTAGAAATACACAAAACATTACAAAATATGTGAGTAAACGGCCCTATATCATTCATCTGGGGAAGCTGGCCAGATTTTTATTTATTTATTCAATATATTTCATGCATTTTCATCACATCTACATTGATAATTTCACAACTGTATTAATATATAGCCAAAATTTTTGAAAACTATTCTTATGGGCCACTTCATTGCCAACAAACTTGGTCTACAAGAACTGAAAAATTTAAGTGTCTTGCTGGTCACTTGCATTCCATTCACAGGAATCACTATTTTCAACTAGCTGGCAAAAGATTAATTTCTGCACACACACAAGACTTTTCTAAATTCATCTCACAATTGACTTCAGGCATTGAAGCATTTGGCACACACACAATGGTTGGCAGAAACAGAACGGACATTATAAACTAGCAGAAAGAGAACCATATATACATTTATGCATTATAGTGTCAATGAAACTAAATAATACGATTGCCATATTTACACTATTAACAGCTTTCTTTGTACAAATACATTCATACTCACCAAGTTTACACTCAAAAAGAAATACTATGAATTTCTCTTAGTTTTTCTTTCTCCAGCAGAAGTTATATATAATAGCCTGGTACATAATAGTTTTGCTATATATAAAATGCTACAGGTATAAAAAGTCTGCAATGACAACACAGAATGAATATTGGTGACTATCTAGCATGCAGGAATATTGTGTGGCCTAATGAATGAGTACAAGAACCTAATTCCAAAAGTGCCCCAGCTATCCCTCACACAATTTATTATTAGGACTGTGGGATATATTGTTGTGGGGAAAACCTCCTTTATGAGCTAAGTATGTGGTTAATGAATATATGAATTAAAGCAACATTCAAGAAGATCAGCATCAACTTAGTGTCAATATCTCACAGAGATTTAAGTTTCAGTTCTAATATAAAGTACTAATGGACAAAGTAACTTTCAAAACCTCATGTTTGCAATCTGTCATTAGTATATATGAAGTCTAATTCATTATCCTGCAATATGTATTTAAACTATAATATTTCTGATTTCATTAAAAAAAAACATATTAAACATTTAACAGAAGAACAAAAAACAAAGGAAATAATCATATGAAGCGTCTTCAATGGTTTTAAATTCTCCATCAACAACACTCCAGCAAGACAAAGAAGCCAATATGATTATAAGGTCTACTACCACAATATTTGTTTACAGGATGGACGTCATAAGTGAAAAGACTACAAGTTAAAGTGTCTTTTAAACACTTGCAAGAACTTGGAATAATGAGCGAGAGATTTATGAAAAATGGCAGCCTGAATACACATTTTTGCAGAGTCGCTTTCCATCTGAGATGAAAATTTCCTGTAGAATCTCACTCCCTCTGAAACACTCCAGCTTCTGATAGGGAACATTTCTTTCTCCTAAATTGAAGCAGCATTTCAATGTACACAAACCGTAATACAATAGTAAAGAGAAAAAAGCTACTAGACAATGCTTCATTCTCATACCCATCATAATTTTTACAAATCTTTAGTAGGACCCTTATACTTTTAGTATTCAAATCTACTGGCTCAATACATTTTCTACCAAAATAGATATTATATAAGAAGGCGTATGACTCAAAGATCAATTCTTTCAGTGGGCTTATACCTTTTTAGGGATTTTTCCATGTTAACTCGATGCCCAACCCTTCTCACGCCTAAATTTATAAAGCGATTCATTGTTTATATCCATGAGTTTCTTCCCATCAATATCCTGTTCCTCAAAGGAGTCTTTGTACTCGGGCATAAATATACTTTCAAGCCACTCGGTTGTATCACGCGTCGTCCACTCAGTCAGGGTCTTGTGTCTGAATCTCGGAAGCAGTTCTTCCTCCTCTTCATGGACATTTGGCCCCCTTCTTCCAGGCTGATCAAATTCTCTCTTCTCCAATATGGATGACAGTCTTGTTATTTTTCCTGCCTTGTGCTCCAGCCATGGACATATCGCAAAACTCTGGAGGAGGTGCCAGGACCATCTCCCACCACCTGCTTGATCTCGAGTAGGAACTCCTGCCAGTGTATTTACTTCATTGAGAGAGTCCATATGCCATACGGATCAACTGCAAGGACTCTTCAATACTCCTCTCATACTCTGTTTCTCCTGTATCAACATTAGTGCTCTTCTTATAGCTATCTCTTTCCAGCGTAGAAGAGCGAGAGGTGGGTGGTGCACTCTTTTCCTCACAGCCATAGGTTCCCCTTCTACTCCCAATGCTGTTCTCTTGTTGTGGGCCGACTTCGACCAAGTGTCCCAGTGACTGTGCTCTGATGGCCTGGCTCACTGGGGGTGCTGAGCTTCTCTAGAGCTTGATGCACTTGAGGAGGCCTTGGGAGGGTGGCTCTCATCTGTAATGAACTTGGTGCTGAGCTGGGTACTTGGCCAGCATGCATCGAATGCTGCATTTCTCTCTCCCCTGTACTGCCTGACCCAGATGACAAGCTGCTGAGTGATGATAATGTACTATAGTATCTTGATCAACAGATCGAGACATAATTCCCTTGTCCAACATCTAGCTCAGTGTCTAAATCTGGCTCAGTTGTTTCTTGTGGAGGAGGAAGCTTCACTAATGACACAGCATTTCTTGTCAGAGTTCCTGATCTTCGAGCACCATTACTATCACTGTCTTTTCCTGAATCACTTCCTTTTTCATTTGTTAATATCCAAGTACGATCACTAGCCTCATCAGAGCTTTCAGATGCCTCAGAACTGTCATCTCTGGTCCCATGTCTCACAAACCTATCTGTTTTATTAGCAGATATGGTGTCAGACTCTGTGTTGATGACTGTTACATAATTTGACTCTTGATGAACATCCTGATCAGAGCTAACTCCACTAGAAGAATTATCCCCATCTTCAAGATTAAAATCATGGGGACAAGAACGGGAATTCTTCATCTTTAAAGTAGACTTTGAATTCCCTCTGCAC